TACCCACTGGAGGACATTTGGCCTAAAGCTAAAAGGTCTCATTTCATAATGAACTGTTGAATTATTTGTATAATATTCTTGCTGTATTACCAGGATGCTCTCTCATTCATTACTTGAGTTTTCTTTGAGAATTCCTATTTATATCTATTTATCTGTTTTTGTTTCTTTGTTTGTTGAAATTACTCCCAGTTGTGTGCAATTAAATTGTAGTGTTGCATTTTCTTATACTTGCCTGAATCTTTTATCATTAACATACTTGTATTTATTTTGTATAATGCCTCATTGGCTTATTATAATTTTATGATAATAGTGGGATTCATGGTACATATAACATTACATACAGGAAACATATTTTCATCATCAAATTAATTCCCCAGTATTCTCTTTCCCTTACTTACACCCTCCTCTAATCCTCTTTCTCTACTTTACTGGTCTCTTTTCACTTTTTTCTTTACTTGCTGCATTAATATTGTTAATAAGATTGGGATTCACTGTGATATATTTCTACGTGCACATAGCATCCTTGGTTTGGTATCCTTCCACACTACCTGTGATCCCCTGTTTTTTTCTTCCCTGGATATTCTTTCTTTATTCAATACTTCTTCCTTCAAGGATCCAGTTCTTTCTTTCATAAGTGGAGGTTAACAAGAGAAAAATAAAGAAACATGGAAACTGACTCATGAGTGTTTTGAATGAGGTAAAGTATTGCTTTCATGACTGACTTGCTTATAAGGTTGTTGATTTTGAGCTTCTCATTGAATGTAGAGAAGGCTTGAGTAAAAACATTATTCTTGTAACTTATTCTATAGGGTTAAAAAAGAGGAAATGCTCCAAGTTAGAAAATTAATTTTTCTTTTCATTCCATTTTTAGTATGATTGTTTTATAAATAGTTCAGTGGAAATAAGATCAGTCAGGCAGATGTTCAATGAGCTCTACATGACCACACACACACACACAAAAAAAAAAAAAAAAAAACCTCAGATGGACATTTTTTTTTCCTGTTTTGTTATCTTGGTATCAGGGAATGAACCCAGAGGGGCTTTATCACTGAGCCATATCCCCAGCCCCAACTGTTTTTTTTTTTTTTTTCAGAGAGAGTGTTTTGCTAAGTTCCTTAGGTCCTTGTTAAGTTGCAGAGGCTGGCTTTGAATTTTTTATCCTTCTGCCTCAGCCTCCCAAGCTATTTGAATTACAGGTGTGCACCACCACAGCCAGCTTTTAGGATTTTCCTGTTTGACAATAAGGTATGCATGATAGCATACATTATTTCTAGGAGAGATAGCAATGACCATAATTGTACCAGGAGAGAAAACTATCTTCTTAAAATAAGATTAGAACTACCTCCTTTTCAATTTCTGAAGACTTGTTTTGTGACCTAATATACAATCGACCTTGCCAATGGATCCATGTTTAATTGCAAAGAATGTTTCTGTGCATGTTCCACTGTTCAGAGGCCAATGTGGGTTTCTGTCTGAGAAGAGCCTCATATTACTTAAAACATTGTTTCCCACACTGATAATCAGGGTGACCAGTTTTCCAGTTGTGCTTGCATCTATGTCTCCTAAAATCAGTCTTGATGACGATCCTGCTATGGAACAAGAGGAGCTTTATACTGAGTTAGACAACCACAGAAGACACATTCTCAATTAGCATTGAAATGCATAGTCAGCAATTTTATTTTGTTATCAGACCAGATAGACTGTCATTCTGGATGAACACAATTGCAACCCTTGATGTGAAATAACATGGCCAAATTCTTGCTCACAAATCTTTCCTACCACATGAAATGAATGGTGATTCTTCATGCGTTCATTTCATTCTTTCACTAACTCAATACAGAATCACTCATTGGAATGATTCTTGTCAGCCTAAAGAAGGAAACATGCATGGGAGAAGGAGAGTAGAAGCTCTTTAACTGTTCATACTATTGTCCAGATGTAGCACAGGTCTCCTCTGATTCTACTTTATTAATCAAAATAATCCTCAGCCAAGGTACTCTTCATGGAGGCAGAGAAGTAAATCTGGCAATCAAAAGGACCAGGAAACTTGGAAACCATGACACCACATGTGGCCAAATCTGTTGAAACATCTCATGTCCAACCAATTCCTGGACACCTTTTAAGTTGCTCACCAAAGCAATGTTCATAGCCTTTGATGATAAGAAACAACTTCAATATTTCAAGTTGAGTATTAGGATAAATAGCTTCTCTGTGACATTTTTCTTGTGGTTTTGTATTGTTTTTTTGGGGGACAGATTGTCTCTCTGTTGTTGAAGCTTGCCTTCATATCCCACTGGCTCAGCCTCCTAAGTTTCTGGTATTATATGCATTCACTACCACAGATGGCAAAATAAAGTCTTCCCTTACCAGAAATCCAACTTGGGCCATGGCAGTGAGAGAGCTGAATCCTAACACTAGATCACCCAGAGCATCTTACTCATACAAATAGACCTACTGTTGGGTTCACACATGGACCTTCTGGTGGTTCTCATCGGCAGTAATGAAGCTTTTCCTGTATAATTATACTTTTTCATGTTCACCCTATGTCCAGGGCTGAATATGCAATCACTTGACCTTTTCCTCCAGCTGTCTGTTGTACAGTGAAAGCTCTGGATGCAGCCTGTTCCACTCTCACTCTGGAAACCTCATTATAATCACCCTCTTTATTTTTTGATTGTTCAAACATCTGATTATTTTGCCCAAAATCTACAAAAGACAATCTAGACCCCCATGTGTGTCCCTTGAATTCCTTTCCATAAGTTTTTAAATGAGAGAATGCACAATAGCATTGCAAATAGAGTGGCCCTCAGAACTCCTAGATTTTTTAAACTTATTCTCTCTTAATTAAAACTAACCAGATAAACAATTTGTCCCTGAATGAATCTAAAGGAAAGTTTCTCAGATCCAGATCTTGCCATGTTCACCATTCCCCTTAGATGTCTTAGCACATCTCCTTGGAAAAGGAGGTGTTTCCCAGATATTTGTTATGAACACTGGGAATCTCAGCTGAAATGAGTGTAAGAGGGAAACGTTAAAGGCACTCATTTATTATTTACCTCACTGAAATTCAAAAGCCTGATTGGATTCTCCAAAGGAAAGATAAGTACTAAAATGCCTCTGAATCTTTACTCACGTGTGCCATAGTCCTGGACACAGCTGGAAATATGTACCTTCAACAACTGTACCTGTCCTGAACTTCCCAGATGTGTCATTTGTTGTTATCTGCATATGGAGATTCAACAATTTTATTAGGAGTATTTATGTCAGCAGATGGGCTCCAGGAAATGTGTTGCAGTTAGAGAGATCTTTGCAGAGATTGTGGTAATATAACAGACATGGTCCAATCTCTCTGACCTAAGCACAAGGACAGGAGCCTCAAATTCCCAGTGCTCTTCTTCTTCCAAGTAATTCCCTGGGAGTGTAGCATGTCATCCCTCGTGCTTTTTATCTCAATCCCACCACAAGCCCTCAATTAGGACAGTCACTCTTCAAAGAAGTGCTTTCCTAGGCATATCCACAGGCAAATTGAGGAGATGTTGAGCCCAGAGAAGAGTGAGCAGATATCAAAAGTAAAGTGTTTTAATTGTACTTTGTATTTTTTAAGAAAATATATTAGATCAGGATGTCAATGATATAATGAACACAATAAAGGCTGGATTATATAGCTCTCTATACTGATGCAATTATAAGATTTTGATGCAAAAGTGATCAAAGTGTCCATCCATTCAGAAATATTTAGGGACCACAAAGGTCATGCTGTATTCTTAGTATAATCAAGGGAAACTCAACATAATGTGGAAGGGTACTAAAAGGAATTATAGACTGGAATAAATCATTCAAGAATGGATATCTGCTGTGAGTTTCCAGAAATAAAAGTTATATTAAAGGAAACCTGACCAATATTCAAAGAAAGAAAGTCAGTGGTGGCATGGATGGTACTTTGAGCAGAGATGGAGGGAGAATTCCAAAAGGGCAAAGGGGCTTTGTGTGCTGGTGGACAGATTCTTTGGCCTGAGTGTGTTGATATTCCCAAAAGTGTGAAAATATCTCAAAATCTCTCAAAGTTTTCACTTATGTGCATTTTATTGTCTGTCAAATACTCAATGTTAGGAAACTTATGTAAAATTAGGCTAAAACATGAATCACACATATACATAATGAAGGCAAAGGAGAAGAAACAGTGCTAGAATTCGTGGAAGTAAAAAAAAAAAAAATGGAGGGTGGAACCACAGGAATCCCATCAGAGATCAACTCTGAGATGACCTGGGTTGTGTTGGTTGCCTCATCACCTAAACTTCAAGGCAAAGAGATTAAAACATCATGTTCAGCTCCTCAAACTAATGAGAAGCAAGAATTTCTGTTTTTTAGAAGGCATTTTCCTAGGAACATGCTGCTGTGAATGACTGTGAGGACAGAAAACAAGAGGCTCCTCACTCAAAACAGTGCCAGGAGATTCAGCTGGGCCTACAATATTGGTAGCAGAAAAAGCCAGAGACAAGGTCTGAGCAAAGCTGTGGGTGTTTGTTCTCCTGACAGATGGTAACAGGGTTCTTGTCTTACTTCCCCATGAACCCAAAGCACTGTGGGAGCATTGAGGCTACTGTCATAAGACTGACAGAAATAATCAGCCTCATCCTCAGGCTGTAGCCTTGTGATGGTCAGTGAACCAGAGTTGCCAGATCTGGAACCAGAGAAGCGATCAGGGACCCCTGAGGGTCGATTACTATTACTATAGATGAGGAGTTTGGGGGCCATTTCTGGGAACTGCTGATACCAGCTCACACCAAAGATACCAATATTGTTGCTGCTTCCAGTGCAGGAAATGGTGACCGTCTCTCCTGGAGTCCCAGACATTGAGGGCTGCTGAGTCAGAACAGACTGGGCCCAGGACCCTGGAAGTGAGAGAAACATGGAGAGCATAAGTTTTGTCTAGAAAGAAGAGTAAAGTCAGGGCCTATCAGAGGACTACCACACTCTATCCCTCCTCCATATTATCTCACCTGTGCAGTGAACAAGGAATGTGAAGAGGAGACAGGACCAGGCCATCATGAAGGTCATCCTGAGCTCTACCTTCTGTTCCTGATGCTGAACAGAGGTTTCCCCAAGTCTCCTTCTTGCCCTCTACATACTCTGAGAAGGGGAGTGTCTGTCCATGCAAATTAGGTTCCTCTGTGATTTCTGATTGCAAACTGGGTCCTTGTTTAGACTCCTTTACATAAAGATGTCAAGTGGGTGTGCAGGGGTGGGGTTGGGTTGGTTTAGGGGTTCACAGCTGTGAGGACTAACAAGAGAGCATCAGGAATGGCCAGGTGGCTCATTATAGTTCTGGTTCTTTTCTGACCCTTCTTGACTGGTCTGCAGTGCCCCCTGTTGTCCAAGCCCATGCACATCATCATATGACACTATGATCAGAAACCCTGAGAAGTCCTACAATTCCATTGCATCCCCAACTGCCTCTGCCTAGTGGCCAGGCCACTTAGCCCCTCTGTGGCCTTCTCAGTACCTCAGGGTGTCCTTCTTGCTTTTCTCTGACTTCACATGGTGAATTTATGCATACTTCACTTGACTCTTTTTGGGACAGGACTGAGATGGTGTCTTTGATATAAATTCTTTGATAAATTATTTCATAGATCAAAATTAAGCAGGTGAACACAAAGTCTCTGGTTTTATCAGCTTGCAGGTAGCATATATGTTATTATACACAACACAAATCTTTGTTCCGAAGGTTCTATCACTTAGTACATGATGAGAAACTCAGTTGCAAAATCTTATGAGTAGTCTTTGGAGGCCATTTAGAAGATACTTGTATGCATGTTTTCAAGTTTTCTCAGTTCACATGTTTGTAATCCTTATTGTCAGCAAGTGATACTGAGAATGGTGACTATAAGTCCACTACAGCAATTTAACTACACCCACCATTGTGTACATGGAATGCAATGCCACAGGGACTGTAGATCCTGAAAGGACACAGACATCAGGACTCCTGAATGTTTTCAGACATGGATGGAATGCACCATTTTAGGAAATGGTAGGGATGGAGGTGGTCTAGACATGAATATCAGCCTTTTGTTCAAATTTGTTCAATAGATTTCAGTGCATTTCACCAGGGTTTCTGTGGTTGTTGCTGAGGAAGTAAATTATATTCTGAATTTTTAAAATCTTTTATTTTATTTTTTATTGTTCTTATTAGTTACAGATGACAAGAGATATATTTTGACATATTACACATATGTGGATTATAACTCTCCACTCTTCTGGTTGTATAATGGTATAGAATTACATTGGTCATGTATTTATATATGCAGATAGGAAAATTTGTCTGATTTATTCTACTATCTATTCCTATCCCTCCTACCTTCCCTTTATTACCCTCTATCTAATCCAAAGTATTTTTATTCATCCTTAAGCCCTGCCCTTTTTTTGATTCAGCACCCAGTTTTCAGAGAGAATATGCAACCTTTGTTTTGGGGGTTTGGCTAATTTCACTTAGCATGATTGTCTCCAGTTCCATTCATTTCCTGGTAAATACCATAATTTCATTGATCTTTATGGCTATCTAATATTCCATTGTGTATATATAGGACATTTTCTTTATCCATTTATCTGTTGAAGGGTACTTAGACTGGTTCCATAGTTTAGCTCTTGTGAATTTAACTGGTATAAATATTGATGTGGGTGCATCACTGTACTATGGCACCTTTAAGACATTTGGGTATAAACCAAAAAAGTAGCTAACTGGAACAACTGATGATTCCTTTCCAAGTTTTGTGAGGAATCTCCATAATGTTTTTCAGAGTGGTTGCACTAATTTGAAGTCCCACCAGAAATGTATGAGTGTACCTTTTCCCCCACATCCTTGACAAAATTTATTGTTGCTTGCATTCTTAATAATTTCTATTGTAACTGGCTAATTTCTATTGTAATTGGGTGCTAATTTCCATTATAACTGATGGAAACTCAATGTAGTTTTAATTTCCTTTATCTAACTGCTAGACATGTTGAATTTTTTTCATAATTTTGACACTTATGAATCCAAAGATAGGCAACAACTGTCATTTTAGGCCCTAGAAACTTGCATACTTAGGAACAGAACTCACCTCATAGTAGGTTGTACTTTTTATATTCAGCACAATTTATAATTAAATAAAGACAGAGTTAAAATCAAGCAATTACATTTTTTTCTGGTATAAGATATATTGTTCACATTGTGGAATCTAATAGTTGTTACTTTTATAAAGTAATAAAATATAGATTAAGAATATAATTTAAATTTTCTGATTAATAATTAATTATTTTTAAAATAAGTTATACATGAAATGTATGCACTATAAAATCATTCACATTTTTAAATATTAATACATTAAATTTTAATCATTGTTTCTTTCTCCCTTCTTTCCTTCTTTCCTCTACCTGTTAGGAATAGACACTGTCAGCCCCTTTGTGAATTTCTGTAGTTTTAATGAAAATTGACTTCTTCACAATCACATAGAACTATGTGAAGTGCAATGACTGTTAATGTCCTGAAGTTTCTTTCGTTCCACTGAATTGCCCTTCAATTCAGAAAAAGCAAGACCAAAAAAATCATCTCTACTGCAGATCAGGAAGTAAAAGTCTTCATAAGCTTAGCAAAATCCACCAGTACTTACAGGGTTTTCTTTTTATCATCCTCTTCTCTAATTTTATCTCCCAACATGAACCCAGATATTTGAACTCTTTACATCCAGAAACATGAAACAAATTATATAAAATGACCAATGTTTCAGAAAGAAAATTGCAGATAGAAAATATGCATATGATAGTGGAACTGCAAATTGTTGCAACCACTCTGGAAAGACATATGGAGACTCAGCTTTGTCCCTCAGTTTATACCACAAGCAACTAAAATTAACATACTATGGTGATGCAGCCACATCAATATTTTTAGCAGCTCAATTCAAAATAGCTAAACTATGGAATCAACCTAAATGCATTCAAGAGATGAATCAATAAAGAAAATGTAGTATACATACAAACTGGAATATTACTCAGCCATATTACTAGCAACTTATTTGGTAAACATTGGGGGCCTCAGCTGCCACAGTAAAGTGTCATAAACTTGGACCCTTTATAAATGAGGGTCTTGTCTCACTTGCTCTTCTGGTTGTTTCACTGTCATAAGTATTAATTTTATAAACAGGAGAGTAATCTTCTGGCCATGTCCTCAAATTGGAGCCCAGAGATTTACAAATACACCTCATTAGTTGAGACATCTTTGTACCAGAAATTCAACTGTAGAACTCAGGCCTCAGCTGTTTCTTTGAGTCTGAGTAGTAGTGCTCAGATACAAGTCCTGCTAGTACCAGTACATGTTTCTCTACCAACAGTAGGTTCCTATTCAGTGCAAGTGAGTTTGACTCTTGATCCAGGGCTGCAGAAAAGGAGAATGGCCATGTCAGAATAGGAAAAGAGAGGAAATCTGAAAGCACAGACACATCAGAGTGAAGGGCAGAAGTAGGGAGAAGTGACTTTGGAATTTGAGGAATAGGGTAATGACTCAGGTTAGGGGCCTGCCCTTGGCCTCTGAGGACTGTACCTACCTGTGCATTGAGAGAGCATCAGTAGGAGGAAAAGAGTGTAGGCCATGGTGGACACAGCCCTTTCATAAGCCTAACTCTGATAACTCCACTGCACCAGGCCTCTCTTATACCAGCTCCACTATCCTCCCAGGGTTGGAGCTGCTCATGCAAATGGGTCCCTAAACCTTGTTTCTACCCATGTATATTTGCAGTTTTTGCATCCCTGACTGAGGGAGGGTGGCAGGATGACCTAGCTTGGTTAATAATTGGGGCTTAGGAGAAAACAACTTCAGAGAACACACCATGAGCATGGGACTCTGTACATCTGTACATCTCTTTAAGTTACTTAGGTGACCTCTGCATTAACCAGAACATGTTCAACCAGGTCTGTGCCCATCATTATATCTCATATTACACCATCTTCTCTGGGAAAATTGTAAGACAAAATTGGGACAATATGATCGGGCAGGACAAATTTGTGGGTGTGCAGTGTAAGAGGAGATCAGAAAAAAATAGGAAAGAGCTGAAATATCAAGTGCATCTTAGGTGTGAACATCTGGTGTGAGAGGAGCAGGTAGTTCATAGAACAAAATGAAGGAAAGGCAACACCTGTGTTCTAATTCAGAAAGGTGAGGACAGATTTAAAAAAGCTGGTCAGAGGAGGTTTTGTTGTACATTTATCATATTGTGAACATGGCATGAAAAGGTGAAAATCATTCCAGAATTTTACAGACAATCTGTTCAGAGTGGATTCATCCTCCTCCCATAGAAATAATGTCAAAGGTAAATCAACCACTAGTAAGGGAATTGGAAGAATTATTAATTTCTTCTTTCATTGATTTTTTTCTTCAAGAATGAATAAGATGCTTCACATGCATCAGACCCTAGAGATATGTACAGTATTTAAAAAGTGGTCCCAGGTTATGGGAGCAGCAGGAGTCAGGAACAGGAGGGTATTGTATTGCCCTGCTGGTAAAACTTTCAGTTGCGGGTAGCAGCTGTGAGCAGGTTGGAGTGCTTGAAGAATATATGTTCATTCAGGCCTGATAGGAACACCTGCAGGATGGGATGCTGTGCTCTAGTCAGCTGTTGGTGAAACCATATCCTTAGCTTTTGTGGTTAGCATTGCCAAGATGCCAGTCCAGGAAATGGATAATCAGGAGCTTCAAGGAATGATACTCCTAACTTAGAAAGTCCCCTCCCCTAGGACAAAGACCTTCCTGATGATAGCAATATTTAGAGCATCCTCAGAGTGTGGTTACATTAGGCATAAGATGATTGGTTATGGATATTATCTTACTTATGTATGATTGATGGGCGTGCCCCACATGAACCCATAACAATTGTATGCATTCCAAAAATAAACTGAGCTACTGGACATCAGCTAGGTTGCCACCAGCCAGTTTTTCTCACCAGCTCCCAGTGTCTGTGTATTGACTTGGCATCTCTACCTCCTTCAACTGAGATAGCTGAGTGACTAGCTGACCACATTAGTGACCAGAACAACAGCATTGTCCCAAAGAATACTCCAAGCCAGAGGACCTCCTCCTCATTCAGGTTAGAAAAGAGGTATATCTCAGTATTTTCTGGGCCTGAAGTCTGCAAGGCTCCAATCCCTGAAAAACCTCAGCTT